GAGCAAAGCCTCCTCGTCGTCGTCGCCCGCCTGGCCGCAGCCGTTGAGCCCCCAGCCCCAGACGTTGCCGGCCGTGTCGCGCGCGAGGCAGTGGTACGCGCCGCACGCAATCGCCGCCGTCGCGCCCCGGCAGAACCGCAGCACCTGCGGCCGCAGCGTGTCCTGGTGCCGCCCAAACAGCCGCCGCCCAAACTGCAGCTGCTGCCCGCAGCCCCAGCCCCAGATGTCGCCGGCGGCGTCGAGCGCGAGCGCGTGGTTGGCGCCGCACGCAATCTGCGTGATGCGCGCCAGCCCGGGGACAAGCACCGGCGTGGCCTGCTTCGCCACGAGCGCACCGGTCGTCGCCGCGTACCCAAACGCTTCCTTGCCGTCTGGGTCATGCAAAAAAAAAAAAAATCTTGGGTGAGCATGCTACATACAAAAACGTCATGGTAGGGAGCCAACGTACTCGAAAGGTGCCCCAGCCGTACACCAGCCCCGTGCTCGTCAGCGCAAAGCTGCAGCTGTCCCCCGCCGCGACGCTCACAAACACGGTGCCGGCTGCAAAGTGCGCCGCGTCAATCGCCGTTGGCGTCGACTCGAGCGGGTTCAGCCCCGGCGGCGCGCCGTCGCTGACCGACGCCTCCTCCGCCGCGTCGCGCAGGCGCCCGCCGTGCCACGCCGTGTCGCGCCCCAGCGCCTTGTTGTCGTTGACGCCCCACGTGACGATGCGGCCGTCGACAGTCAGCGCGACCGTGTGCATGCCGCCGCACGCAATGTCGGTGACGTGCAGCGCCGCTGCGTCGTCGGGGTCCAAGAACGGGTTCTTGCACGGACGCGGCGCCGTCGTCTGCGTCGGGCCCAGGCCCAGCTCGCCGCTCTCGCCCCCGCCAAAGACGAAGACTTGCACGGCCGCCGCGCTGGCCCGCTCGTTGATGACGGCTGGCGAGGTGGCGTCGCGCCGGCGCCGGCCGGGTTTGGCGCGCTTCATAGGCGGCGGCGGCGAAGGCGCCGCCGCCCTGCGCTCGCGGGACAGTGCTGCGGAAGCGGCTTCGGCCTTCTTCGCAGCGATGCGCTGGGATGGTGCTGCATCATTGATTAGTCGGGGAGCAAAGGTGCAAGCAAAGTCCATGCGTGGGATGGGGGTACCTCTCGTGGGCGCTGTGACTGCTCGTGCTGCATTGCTCCTCTTGGAAGATCGGACGGACCCCATCGTAAAGTGAATATCACAAAGTGTAGATGTAATTGATTGACTGACTATGTAACCAAGATTTGGTCCGGTGGAAAGGTTGATGTAGACTCGTTGAAAGGGACAAGGGTCTGGCAGGCGCCTGGGGTTTTTATACAACTTGTTGGCGCCTCCTCGTGCCTGTTGCGCTGCAAAACAGACGAGAAGCAGCATTTTTTGCGAAGACGTGACACCGGCGCTTAAAAGAATGAACAAGGTGCATGGTATCGAGTGGCACAGGACATGCCTAGTAGGGCCCGACTATGTCGTGGTTGTTTCGTGTTGGGAACACGCGGGTTCTTGTGCGCCGGCTCACACGCCGTCTTTTGGTACCGAAGACAGCAAATCTGTCCTGTCAACTCGAGACGCGAGCCGCCCGGGAGAGAGAATGCAGATGCTCTCCCGAAGAGAACCGTGTTACCTACTCTCGCCGCATCGGTGAAAGGCAGGGGTCCATATTCCCGCTGTTCATGGCGGATGGCGTTGGTGTCTGCCGTCCAGACGGATGGACGAACTGCTTCAGCCACCAACCAAACTCCACGGGTAATCCACGATAGCAAGTCAAGTACAATAGACGACCTTTGTCGCCAATAGACGACCTTCGTCGTCCGGCTCATATCTTCTGCCCGTGGTAACAGGTTGTGGGTGGGGATTGAGCCGACCACAAAGAGCACCCGTCGCCCACTTGCGCAGGGTTATCCACCATCCAATCCAAATCACCTAGCTGGACCAAGAGTATCGCTTATAAGCACTCTAATTAATGTATACATTCGGACATCAGACATAAGAACATTCCATTCATTATCAAATCTAGCAAAAAGAAAACCCCTCTCAGTAGTACCGGCCTCCCCGCGGCCGCCTCTCATCAATCGACACCTCGAGCTCCCGGAAGCGCTCGTCCAGGTACCCCGACGACCTTCGCCTCCTGCGGTGCACCGGCCTAGTGTGGTGCGCCGTGCGATCAATCTCGATATCCAGCTCCATCTCGCGCTGCGTGCCGCGGCGGCGCGCCCGCCGAATCTCCGCCGAGAGGTCTATAAGGTCCGACACGGCATCCTGCGAACCTCCAATCAGCAACCCATGCCGGGGCTTCACATGCAAGACAGAAACTTACCGACGGCAGAAACGTCTGGATGTAGAAATAATCCCGCGCCTCCTGGTACGGATAGCCCAGTCGCTCAATCGCCTCCCGCGACACGACGGTCCTCGACACCTGTGTCCACTTCTCCCTCGGCGGCGGCGGGGGTGCTACTACTTTCGGCCTGCTGCGCGAGCGGTGCCGGCGCCGCCTGCTCTCAATGTCAATCTCCAGGTCCCGGTCGACGACGGCCACGCTCATCCTGCGCTCCCTGCTCCTGCTCGGCGGCGTCGTCTTCGGCGCCGCCGCCACGTCCGGCACAAACTTGGTCCGGCGCTCCCCGCTGTACTTGCTCCATGTCGTGTCGGTGCGTGCCCCGCCCGCGCCGTCCATGCGCACCCGCTCCGTGCCCGGCGGCACGTCCACGAGCTCCCAGCGGCGGGTGGCGCCGCCG